CATCTGATATTTATAGATGTTATTCTGCTGGGTGCCTTCCTCCCTCTTCACTTCAAATAGGATCTGTACACACTCAAACTGTGGATGTCACTAGGCCATGCCTACACACTTAACTCCAGTTACTGTAAATAGGAATTTTCTGTAAATCTTCCATGATGGATGGCTAAATTCAGTCCTTGGATATGCTTTATAAATCATGCATACGTATCCAAGGACAGCCATTAGCAACTAAAGTTAGTTAAGAAGTGGAATTTGCAACGTTTTGTCAGGTCTGGGGGTTTTGTTTTTATTTTTCATGTGTACCTTAATTTACGTAGTCATGTACCCTTAAAAGTATTCCTATCCCCTGTTCCTTTCATTCTAGATACTGTTTTCATGTTAATTCTTAAAAACTGATGGATATCAAATATCTAACTAAGGAGGTAATTAACCTTTTAAATATTTATTAGAATTTTTCTGTAATATTACTGAATTTATAAGATCTTTAGCAAAGATTTTTGAGCAATTTATTAAATACAATGTTTCTGTTTACTGCACTTTTTGATAATAGAAGGTAGTGAATTTTAAAGCCGTGATTCTTGGCTTCCATGCACTGCTTTTATACCCTCAATCCAAGGAATATATATATATAAATAATTTTTTTTAAACAGCAAACATACTGTTGTCCTAAAAATAAATACAAACTTTACTGCACCGTGGGTATATTTTCATAAGTGGAATGTTTAATTGCAAACACTATCAGGACAATTATAAAAACCTCTTGAAGCTACAATCTTATTTAAATATAAGCCATGACAATTTTATTTTCCCGTGTTGATTTAAGTCACCTTTTGATATTTTCAAAGAGAAAAGGAGTCGCTCTTAAATTTGTATGTACTAACCTATACATAATGCTAGGAACACGTTCTCCCTATTGTTTTAATTTTAATAGTTTGATATATTTATGCAAAACCATTTGGTTAACACATATTCTCCCTGTTTACTAAATGTTCAACGTAACAAGACCAGAATAAATGCTGATTACAAATATACATCGGTCTGAAGATTAAGCACATAGACTTCAAAGACCTCGTTGAGTGATATGCTCAAATTTCTGTAAATACACACAAGTTTAAATGCAATTATACTGTACATGTAAATATATGCTGTCTGTTATGTGTACAGTATGTGTAAATTCCTTTTCTAGCCACAATAAAATGTAAGCCATCAAGAGGAATACTAAAGTGGTATTGTACTAAACCTTTGCTAATGATCTTTACCCAATCACTTAACTTTTCACTTTCATGGACCCTTCCCACTCACTCTCACGATAGCCTGCTTATATTCAAGTTTGTTATTTTACTCAGTCCCGAAAAAAGTATTTTGATTCATTTTGTAAATATGACTGTAAAAATAAGAGATTTAATGTTGTCTTTTAAATACTCCAATTTTCATTCTAATATGAATGTTGTTATATTGTACTTAGAAACTGTACCTTTAATATTACATTACCTTTATTAAGTGCATTGAACACATCGATTTTAGATGTGCTTTATGTACTGTTATCCTGTAATAAAACTTCAGCTTCTAATGGAAAAATCTGTCTTAATTTTTTGTCAGTAGCATCTTGTTTGTTTTTCTGAATTGTGGTTTATTAGGTTTATTCCTTAAGGAATGCACCGTTACAACATTAGGCTGTGCTTCCAAGCACACGTATCAGAGCTGTTTAGCAAATACATCAAGTAATGTTTGGCAGTGGGGAAACAAGACGACTCCTGAGTACCTTTTAAGCTCCCCTTTTAAAGGCCAACAAGAGTTTTAAACCTCCTCAGAATGAATGTGGATTAATGTAGCTTCCCTCTCCTTGAAGGTGTCGTCTTGTTTGAAATCACAGTTCACTGCATCAAGTGCAAGATACAAGAAATCTGGCTTAAGGCCCTCCCAGCGACTTTGGAAATACCGCTTCGGGCTAGATCTAAATGAGGATTTGGGTATCAAAATTGAGGTTTTAATACAATTTAGGCATCAAAATTCAAAGTTGCAACTCCCCTCTGCTGTGCTAACTTTGGGAGCACCTGAACGTCAGCAGCATGCTTGGTCTTAAGACTTCAGGCATGTAAAATTCTACTTCTGCGCGCCTACCCAGAAATGCCTCAGTCTTGACAGAGCTTTAACAGCTCAGTATTTATATGCCTGACCATGATCCAGAAATAGGTATAGGCATTCATCTTGGAAGCACTGTATCTGGAAGCAGCCTTCACCTACAGATCCAAGTTTACAAAAAAAAGTAGCGGAAGTCATCGCTTCCTTAGAACTGTAGCACTAAGTAGTGTCAATTGTTCTACAGCAGCTCCATGACTAAGACTTCAAGACATTGAAAATCCAGATTTAATTTCCTCATCCTCAGGACATGATTCCTGCCCAGTCTTTCCACTCACAGGAGTTGCTAACCATGAAGATACAGGCTAGGCAACAACTATATAAACAACTAGGTATGTTCAATGTAAAACACAGGAATTTTTCTGAAGTGAGAGACAAACCAGGTACTCCCATGCCCACCCATAAGGAAAGCTGAACTGTGGGTTAGGAGGTGGTGGTTTTGATCCCCGACTATTTCACAGAATGGTTGAGGTTGGCAGGGACCTCCAGAGGTCACAAGCAGGGCTACCTAGAGCCGGTTGCCCAGGTCCATGTCCAGGCGGCTTTTGAGTATCTCCAAGGATGGAGACTCCATGACTTCCCTGGGCAACCTGTGCCAGTGCTCGGTCACCCTCACAGTGAAGAATTGTTTTCTGCTGTTCATGTTTATGTCATGGAAGTAGAAAGATCACGTGTAGAAAGTAGCACCATTAAAAAAAAACCCAGACACTGCAGGTTTTAGAGAGATGCAGACTGAAGTAGGATTTAACCTGCCACATTCACGGTCTGGGGTAAGTCTTCTAATCATTTGGCTTTGTAACTGTTACCATACCTGGGTTTTGAAGTAAGATTACTCCTTACAAGGCTACCTCCAGGACTGGGCTCTCAGTGGATCCAGTAGGGACATAGAAACCTTTCTGCTTCTCTGAGATACACAAACCAAAAAAGGGTAGAATTAAAATCAAACACTGTTCTTGAAACTGATCTGCAAGCAAGCTAAACAGACTCCTTTGTTGGTGGGGTTTGGACATCATTCTGAATCATCTCAGTATTTTTATGTATTTATGTATAGCGCCCAGAGTTTTAGTTACAGGACTAGGTGCTGTGAACGCTTCGATTGCTTCACGCCCCTATCCTCACTTCCCTCTTTCTTTCTCCATCTGTAGAGCTGTGAAGGGGATCACCTTTTCTTATAACACCAAAAGCAAATGAGTTTCCATCACCTAGACCTACAGGTCCTCAGAATATTTGAATTCCACATTTTACCACACTGGGAAGCCTGATCATCAGAAAAAAGGTTTTGTGGCTCTGCCCACGTTAATAGGTGGGATGTGAGCCAGGAAACTGGAAGCCCAGGAGAGGAGGGGAGCTGATAAAGGCAGCAACCTCCACGGGGACCTCAGCCCTCTCACACGCGGTCCCAAACCCCTTCAGGGACGAGCTCCCGGCAGAGCCCCGCCGCGCCACCTCTGCACACCCAGGGCGGGAACTGCCGCTCGAGGCACCCAACATCCGGTCAGGGCCACACCTTAGCGAAGAACGTGGAGTCGGAGCGGAGCCCACAGCGCGGAGAGGCCTCGGGCACATTTCATCTCCCGGCGAGGCGAGGCGGGCCGGGGCC